TGTGTGTGTGTGTGTGTGTGTGTGTGTGTGATAGAGATCGAGACTATCCCAGCCAACCGAATCCCATACGACCGTTAAATTATGAATATATGCATGTATATATCCTAGTCTGACCACAATGTCTCCGGTGGGGGAATTGTTCACGGCTGTGTTGGGATTTGAGGGAAGGTGGATGATCACAAACGACGTGTGATGAAGGGGGGGGGGAGGGGGTGAGCGGACCTCAGGACAGGTGCATGTCGGCCACGCGTTGGAATCACCCCTACTTGGTGTTAGAACCTTACAGGGTAAAAGTATATGGTGTCAATATCCTGTTTTTGTACGGCAGTGTGTATGAACTCAGAAGAATGAACAGTTCGAAGATGGGAGGGGAAACGAGTGGTGTTCGTGGGTGTAATGTACCCTCCCATCCCCTTTGTTTGAGATACCCACACGGGCTAAATTGAGGTTTGGGATGAGAGTGAGCAAATATGTACGCGAAGGTTTATTCCGTCTGATTGGCGTCGCCGCGTTCTAACCAGGATAACGCTGACGAGGAACGTGGACACCAGTAGGATGTGGTGTATCTTCTCCTTGTCATGTGATGTACAGACAACTTTGATGCGGCAAACGTGTCGCATCGAAATGTCGCTTTATGAACACAGTTTCGAGGATATCATCTATATGAATCCGCGAAAAATTTCTGTGGGCGTCAGAAAACAGTATGTTCTGAACCATTTTCAAGGATTTGTTTCCAAAGAACAACGATACCATACCATATAGACCTGAACAAGAGAGTAAAATAGAATGCACTGAACAATCGTCATTTGTATCGGTATCTACCTTAAGTTTATATTCCGGTTTATTTCGCTGTTTTCGTACGCTACTCTGGAATGAACAGAGATGCAGCTGAAGTAAACGCTACAGATACATGATTTTACACTCAGACCTGAGGAATGTAAAGGTCGCAGAATGGAAAAAAACTATGATACGATAAGAATTACTCGGACTGACAAATCACAGAGATCACTTGCTGTACGTGCGAGATTGCAGTAGTTTGTTTTATAGGACCGTCCAATTGAGTACAGTGGGTCTCGTGATTTGTCAATAAACCAACCCATCTGAGTTACCAGCAGAGTACGGAAGCTGGAGAAATAGCACAGTTTACCTTTTATTGGGGGGGGGGGAGGACAAGTGGCAAATCATCGAATTAGTGAATGTTCGACCTGTCTATGCACGATTTAGTAATTTGTCAGAAGAGTATCAAAATGAAATGTTTGGTAATCCAAACAGGCACAGGCTAAAGGCTGTCCAGTCCGGTTTCAAAAGAACATCCCCCACAGGGATGTGTAAGTCCGGTGTTTCGTGTAACAGNGGCCGGATCCGTTGGCGTGTTCCAGAAAGCTGGCTTGTCGATCGTGCATGCTTTTCAGTTGGAGGAGGGACACACATTCCCCGACCGAATGGTTCTCATCCAAAAGAGCTGTGAGGATTAGACGGAAATAGGAAAGCTGGTAAATCCAGGCACGGAATTAGGTATAACGATAAACAGTTCACAACAAGTTTATGACAAAATAACAATTGTTTCTAGTAAAAAGGCGCATCATATTCATTTGTGATAAGAAAATGCAGTGTTAGTCAGAAGTATTCGTCCCGTTATGGTCCTGAGATCGGAGTATTTCAAACCACTTAATACTGGTGGTAATTTTGCGGCATACAATATAGCACTTGCATGACATAAACGGGGTCAACTATAGGTGTGCTTTCTATGGTTTGACGCGCACCTGTTTTGTTCCTCTTTTGGGTTTACGTGGTTCTCGAAAATCAGGCGGTTGTTTGATTCTGTTCAGCGGTTGTGGTCGGCAACCATCCGGCATATATCGGCACGAATTCAATACACGTGGATTTGGATCAGATATGCGGCCCCTTCCTGTTCCGCTATCCACGTAACAGGGCCGAAAGACGCATTTACAGTCGGCGATGTGTATGCGAGGAAGGAGGAACTAATAGTGTGGTGGGCCACTTAGGAGCTTTAGAGCTTCGGGACTACCGGTTCCCTTAAGTTCCCTTTGGAGTTTATCTCTTCTGCTATCCATCACAAAATAGTGTGCTATACAGAGAGCAACACAGTACAATGAGGGTTCTTTCGATAGCTAGAGAGTTTTTCTGGTCGTAAGATCGGGGTGATCTGGTAGTTCTGGACGAAATCGTCAATGATCAAATCCTGTTCACACGTTCTGACCCGACACAAGTACTAAGTAGAACTACTAAAGCGATTTTACAGGGTCAAAAGGCGTATCGTTCCCTGGTTCTAGTTTTTTATTACACACCTAGGTGTTATGAACAGCAGAGGCGGCGGACCCCATAGTCACGAGAACCTGCTGTTCATTGATTGAAATCCGTCTCCTAAGCCCCGGGACTTGGAGTGGCGAACTTCATAAGGCCGCGATAGGTTAGGCGTGGCACTGAACGGGACGACAGCGGAGCTCGAACCTCGGACCATAGGGTCCAAAGCACGCCGGTGACAGTGACTAAACCACTGCACCACCACCACCCGTGCGAGTTTCCTGCATATCACAGCTAGTGTTCACCTCGATCACCGGAGCGTAATTCACTATAGAACATTCAGGGAACTGTCTCAAGACGGGAACAGGGTGACAAATCTCATGGGTTGTTGAAGGTTACCTGAAGGAAAGATTGAACCGTATACCACAAGGTAATATTAGACAGTTGATGGTGAGCATAAATGGTCAGGTAGATAGTGTTCAAGTAGTAAACGTTTTGGCTTATGAGCCAACAATTTTGGCGAACCGTAGGCTGTTTTCATTTGGGTTCTTACTTAACACATTTTTGTGAGAAAATTTTGGACTTCCTCCTTCTCCCTAGAGGCACAGACAAAGAAATTTCATTGTGCTTAATCTGCTGAAATCTCACGAAGTAGATTACAGAAACATTTCATTATGCAGCTATAAAGGACAAAATGCCTAACGTAACCGCAAGCTCATTTGGTGAACTCATTGGTATCGGATTACTTTCTCGTGGTTCCAGATCAGAAACGATACTTGATATAGTGCCCATTTTCTTCTCCACACTGCTTTCATCTTTCCAATTTTCCTTTTACTCACCTATCCGAATGGACAGTCAAAATACAGCAACCAAAATCGCCCCACGAAAATATACGGTCATTCATTGTACAAACTGAAACTGATAGGGCCCACTCGTTTTCTTCACGTCCCGAATAACTTTTTGATCAAGTGCAAAAAGTAATCCCTAATAAGCCCTTAAATTATCGGTAAAGATAGGATTACGAATAACTTGAATCAAATTTTTAGCATTCGAATGTGTTCTTATATTCAACGGTGTCTGATTACGCAATAAATCGATCATCTTTCTAAAATAATATGAGTTTGAATGGTGCCTCCGTGCTTAGGAAGAAACAGACTGGGCCATTTTCATTGATCGGTGAAATACAGTGTAGCAAAATTTGCTGTTGGCTAACAAGCTACCAATGTGCACAAATAAATATTAGTATTACAAGATGGACGGGGTGATGGCCTTTTCTGAGTGGTGGGAAATAAATTTAGCCAATGTGATCAACTTTCAAAACCGAATATGTACTTGGTATTTCAAAGGGAAATTCGTCGTGTATATTGGAAATGAAGCAAACGAAGCTGTTTCTACCTGGTTGGGCATATGCATTTTGGTTTGATAAGAAATGATAACAAGAATGCTACCCAAATCAAATCGCTGCATTGCCCTTCAGTCTCTTCAACGTGGGTCTTTTGTAAGACAGAAGACTTTAAACTGGTCCAGTCCTCCCATATATTCCCTGGTACCTCAATTCCACACTCCGTTGACATCACCTAGTGTCCTCCATCCATAATATGTCTATTGGGCTCTTTGTTTTTCAACCTAGCTTAACTCATGCGGTACGGCTGAAACCTTTCAAGGCTAGTTTGTCTACCAATTAGGCATCCTCATTCATTTTCGAATTCCAGCATTGATTTAAAAAACATTCGAAAAATCATGCGCGAACGTTGCTTGATTGGTAGAGAAGAGCGACTTCCAAGAACTTTAACGTTGTACTTACATTACGAACGGTACGTATGAGAGAGAGCGGAAAATCGGTGGTATTCATGTGGTGTGCAAATTGGGACAGTTCTCGCTGCATGATAATGGTGAACGCCATAACTGCTTGAAAAGAAAACCTGTCAGCGATTACAACTGTTGGGTGTGATCAGTGCATCGGTAGATAATAAACGATCAGTTAGAGTTAGACTGCTGACTATTTGGCAGTAGTAAAAAGCTTGAAAGCAATTATTTCTCGTGAATTGTAATTTACAACCCTTTATTGCAAATAAATTAATCGTGAAATATTCCTTCTTATTTCTTTAACTTTGGAATTTTATTGCGGCAATTTAACCACATCCGTTTACAGATGAAACTAACTACAAAATTATTACATTCCCATTCTATTTTAGTCATGAAGAAGCAAGTGAAGTTGGAATCCGAACAACTATTTTATTCAAATAAGATATCCAAAAATACTCACTCTTTAATAAGTTTTCCAGATTGGATTGTAACTCGGTGACATTTACTGTCCAACTGGGCATGAGTGTGGACTGGCAGCCGGCAAGACTGAGCAACACTGTGGTTGTGATAGGTTGTTCCAGTTCATGTTCTAGGACCCTACAGACCAAGTGAAAAAAATAAATTGTTAAATACTGTAAATGATGAAGCTATTCATCTGGTAGCAAGATAGAAATTCATAATAAATGACTCGACAAAAGTGAGATCGAACCATCTGTCTGAAGCACCCTAAAAATTATACGTTGATCACTTCAAACGAATATTGCTTTATTTATCACCAATTTCACTCACGTTTTGGTTACCGCCAATTTTCCTTGGCGAAGCAAACTCCCCGGGGTATGTACCCGATCAAACAGTGCTGCGAAGCGGCAACCTGTTCAACAGAATAATCAAACAACGGTCACGTAAGAGAGTGATTGTGGGTCAATTTCTTATCATTTGAATGATCAAAAAATAAAACTCACATGAAGTATGCAATTATGGATTTTGTTTTATAGGTTTTTATTGAACTTTATCTGGATCCACTTATATCAAGTAGTCACCTCAATCTCTTAGTTTCCCTACGTTCCGTTTGTCAACCAGCCATACATGTGATTGGTTTAGAGTTTAAAGTACAGACGAGATGAGTGATATGCACTACTGATGGGTACTAAATCCAGCGAAAGTCCAGTCCCATACTTCCCCATTCATTGGTTGTCTGGATGCAATGGTTATTTTGCGTCAAAATTAACTCTCAAAGATGGTCCGTCGAAATCAATAAAAATTATCCTACACTACAACTAATATATTATAGATAGTGTATCAAGGCACGGGTTTTATCTATGAATAATTTTTATTGCTTTTCCATTGTCAATGGAAAGTGTTGTGTAATGGTCAACAACGAGCCCCGGATATCTGTTTTATATCTGTTGTGTATCTTCCGCAGAAAGTACTGCGTTTGTGTCTATACTGGGCTTTGAACAACAAACCCTGGGATTGGGAACCAGAACTTCTAGCCCTAAAAA